GTTTCCCTCAAATGTTATGCATTATGTTTTATTGAAAACTGAACTTTAAGGGCATTTTCAGTGGTTTCATGTAAAATTATCATTTCACTAATTTGTACAAAAAAAAAATGAAAAAGAAAAAATGGAAAAAGAAAAAAGAAAAAAGAAAAAAGAAGCGGTCATTTTCTACAAAGGACATGTTACGGGCAACCTTTAGCTCAAAGGACACGTTTGCAAGTTGTGAGCCGTGGCATTGTTCTTGCATTGCTTTCACGATTTTAAACATGTGCAAAAAATGTACAGTGTCGATCGAATGCCACATTTGAATAATTCACACTTTTATATAGTGTTCTCGCACTTTTTCTTTTACGCTCGATCATGTGGCTCTTAATTAAGAATGATGGTCAATTTTAAGAGGATCATTCTTCAATTTTTACTACTCAAGTAATTGAAAATTGATAATATATACATTTCATTGTATCCCAATTTTCTTGAATTATTTTGGCGTTGAGTATTGGAATGGAACATATATCTGATGATAATAATTGATAAGGGATAAAATCTTACATTAAATATAGATTAATTTATAAGGGTTTAGGTTACATTTATTAAAGAGATGGACCTTATTAAGAGGAATAGTTTAGGTTCTTATAATATGTTGGTCCATCTATTCATCTTTGGTATCAGAGCACATTTTCAATGAGCAATTTGATTCAATTAAAACTCAAAAATTGAGCAGGCAGATTTTAAAATTAGTTTGCTTGAATGAGCTACTATCTTGTAGGGAGATAAATCCTACATCTACTAATGATGAAAATATAGATTAATATATAAAGATTTGAGTTGCTTCTCTTGATAAAGTTAACGTTTTAAGTTGGAACTTTAAGTCTTAATATGATATCAAAGTCTATTAAGTTTTGACGAACAATTTGATTTGATTACTATTAAAAAAATGATCATGTAGATTTTAAGATTATTACGTTAAAGTATTAAATTTCACATCAAGTAAGATTGATCTTTTACGATGAAACTTCAAATTTTAATAATTGTTTCAACACAATCATTTAGAGATGGTAAAATTCTCCTATGTGCCCCATCCCAAATAGAGCGGGGAACCTGTAGGTGAAAAATAGTGTTAATAAACAAATAAATATATGAGAATGGGGGATGACATGTTAAGAGATAGATATGCATCGAATAAAATTTGAGTTATTTTTAGTAAGGTTGATCTTTTAAGATTGAACTTAATAAGACCTTGTTTGTCATTCTTTAACAAAATAAATTGTTTGTTACAGTAACATTCTTTATCTCACATTCACACAATAAAATATTGTACATACAAACCAATAAGATTTTTTTTTTAAATTTCAACCACACATTCTTCAAAAATTAATATTCAAAACTCTATATTTTCTTCCAAAACGGGAGACAAACAAGCTCTAATTGTTTCGACACAATCATTGAGAGATGGTACAATTCTCTTACCTGCCCTATCCCAAATTAAAAATAGTATTAATAAATAAGGCTTTGTTTGTTTTCCATTTATGTAAAAATGAGAATGAAAAATATAGTTGTTACGAGCTCCCATACAAGAGATAAAAATTCAAAATGGAGGTTTAATGTGATGGATAACGGTCATATTTTTCATTTTAATGAGGAAGAAATGAGAAACAAACAGGGGCTAAATAATTATATCAAATGGCACGAGAATAGGGATGACCACTCTCGATCCCATTCCTTTCCATTCCATCCCATCCCATCCCATCCCTTCCATTGCCATCCCTAAAATTATTGACATTTTTTAATCAATGATCAAAGATTTATCCCATTGTCGTCCTTGAAATCATTGACATTTTTTTATCGATGATCAGCGATTGAACTACCATCGGTGAGCGTTGATGATTGTACTAAAAATATTTTTGTTGATAAGTGATAACTTATTCTTTTGATGTACCTCCTTGTGCCGAATGAAAGAAAGCTTTCACATCTGATTTTGAAGAGAAAAGATCTTATATGATCCCATCCCAATTTTTTTTTTTGTTAGGTCAATAATTAAAAGAATGTAATTTTCTTACGATTATGAAAGCATTTGCTCCATTCATATTGTTTGAATTTGCTCTATCTCAAAATATATAGCCCTTGTTTGACAACTATTATTTGAAAACATTTTTTTTCTTATATATACTCATTTTCAATCACACATTCATACAATAAAATATTTTACACATAAATCCAAAATTTTTCCTACTTTTTAATTACACGTTCTCCTTAAAATTATTATTCAAAATATTGTTTTCTAAAAAAAAAAAAAAGGGTTGTCAAATAGGGGAATAGTTAGGCAAAGAACTGGTGATAGTAAATCTGAATTTTAAAAAACTCAAGTTTAAGTACCCAATAAAGTTGGTCTTTATTCAATTTCACGTCATATGCAAACTTAGGTGAGTCCAATAATATATCATATTAAATGGAATAAAATTGCATTTAAAACTAACGATGAATCCCCATTTTTGGATCCAACGAGTGAGTTGGAAAATCAGCTTTAGTTCCAACATGTGGAGATTACATTGCATTATGTAAATGCAATCACGTGCATTTGTGCCACGTGGTACCATTCTCAAGTCCAAATAAACGTAAACCTCATCGAAACATGTGACAATATATTTAATCCCAGTTCAGGATTAATATAAGAATTGATAACAATCGATGTTATTTACAACTTTTTTTTACTAAAGTTTCTGTTTTTTGTATAAAGAATTTATGAGGAAGTTATCTTAAATCAATTCGTTGATAGCTCTTTTATTAAGGTGGAGAACTTAAAGAAAATTATGTACAAAAGTAACTATTAAGTTTTCAAAAGTTCTAACAAACGGGACTTGAGTAATCGCCTAATTGGAATAAAAATAATTCTTAAAGCTAATTAATGGATAATTGTGTCGAGGAAGGAGGGGGGAAAGAGGTGGGATCAGTTGGATGCAGGGAATGTGCAGAACATGGTGTACATTTCATGCTGCTTCACTGTCTCACATGCAAAGGTACAATCTGATTTCTGCATGTGATGTTCCATGTGCATTCTTTCCTTTAATTTCTCTCTCTCTTTATTGTATTTGAGGCTGGCCCATGCCACATTCACATGTGCCCTTTTGGGAGGCCTGACCCATCCCCTACGCTCACAATACAACTAGCTTGCAACGCCCAATTTAATAAATGAAATGTCTAAACTACCCTTTAGTTTTTCTCTCTTTGACCTTTGATAATTGATTCGGACATGTACATTTTTTGTGTAAATAATGTTTTACATCTCTTCACATGGAGGGGTGTAAAGGATTATATACACGGAAAGTGTAGACTAATCCTTAATTCGGATTCTTAATTGTCAAGTGGGACATTAATCTTATTCCGTTCTGTCGATAAAGCGTACTTGTCATTTTATATTAGTGTTGGAAAAACTCTACACACCCATTTCATGATGAAAATTCATGATTTTGATGAACATGTTAATCGATATAGGAGATGTGTCTCCCATGCACGTGTAATACATAATTCTATTGCTCTACTTTGAATCGTGTAATTAATGGTACCTTTGCTAAACATATTGACGCATGCATAGCCAAATTAGGCTAATACAACAAATATAAAATTGGCCTATTTTGCAATCTTAGGTATCCATTTAGTATTGCCAAAATTTATGGAGAATTAGCACCAACAAAAAGGAGGAAATTACGTTTGATTAAGGGCGTGAGTGTTCAATGAATTAGGGCTCAAGGGTCCACGTGCGAATTGCAGATAGGAAACATTACATTCCATGAATTTTGTATTTCTCGCAGGTATGAAAGTTTAATAAAAACTGCATATAGGACGGTAAAAAGACTCATTCAATTTGATATCCGCGAACCCCATTTCGAATCGGATGGTGATTACCCGTCTAATTAGGTAAAGTTAATTTCAAATTTAAAATTTTTATCAAATAAAAATAAAAGATTTATCATTATTTGTAAAGTGAACATGAGTTTCTTTATAAATTGAAAAAAAAAAAAAAAAAGTTATAACATTCACTAACTAAAAACATAAAAAATAGAAAAGATTTTAAAAAAATGGGTCTATAAACGGGGGCAGGGGGCTTTCCTCTCCTCGTCATGATTCAGTCATGTTTTGTCCCGTTTATGCGGATATGGGTGGGACAACATGACAAAAACACTCCACAGGTCAAGGGATGGGAATGGCTGATTCATCTTATATCCACCATGTTATCATCCCTAATTGCATGATTATCGTGTTTATTGAGTGATCGTTAGTGTAAGTTGAGGAATAATTACTCAAAAAGCTAGTGACTATTAGCGTAACTAACCCGTGATCCATATAATGGTAAACAATAATATTAAGTCACATGTCATATAAAACAATAAAATTTCATCAAATTACAAAGATATTTACACCAAATATTTAAAGATCCAAAATGGCATTCTTGTAATTCCTGTGCACACAAGTGGCACTGTTTCACTACTCACTTATTTATACCCCGTGTAACGGACCTCGTTACAGCATCATTTCCTTTCCCCTTCCCTCCACCATCTCCGCCACCATTACGCTGCCGCTTCAAATGGGTTCACAGACAAGAAACGGCATAAGCGCGGTGACGAGGAGGAGGAGAAGAAGGCCCTCTAAAGTTCATAGAAGCTTGAGGCCGGGCAACATTGGTAGAACAACCGCCGGTGGTTCATCGGTTTCGGACAAGTTGGAGGCCTTAAAGAACCTTATTCCATCCAAAAATGGGGAGATGAAACCCGACCAGCTGTTTCAAGAAACGGCCGACTACATTGTACTTCTCAATACTCAAGTTCTCGTTTTGCAGAAATTGATTGATTTTTATGGGTCTCAACCTCAAGAAAACGAAAATGAAAATTCTGTATAGATCATAAGCAAATATTTTCCATTATCAATGAATCCATAGGTCTGGAAATGGGAAGAAATGGTTCTTCACGTTATTCGTTATAAAATGAAGTAGATTTTAGTATAAAAGAGTTTTATGTTTCCTTTGTGCCATCGAAATTCTTTGTTTCTCTTTGATGGGTTCTTGACTTGTTGCTTCTTATTTTCCTATTTCTTGTAGTTATTGATTCTTGATGAGAATATATTTCCTCCTTAACCAGTATACCTTCTTGGCTAGAGGGCTGGACTGGGGTTCTGGGAAAATCTCTACGAATTCTAAGTAGAAAAGACAGATCCGACCCCTCACGGGGAGCCTAGTCAAAGGAGTAGTTCGCAGAGCACTATTGAAATGCTATACGCAAAGGAGCAATAAAGGATTTTTATCTTCGAAACCCATTGGAAGGGGGTAGTGCAATAGAAATTTTGGAGTAAATTCCCAAAATTATTTTAGTTTCTAAAGTAGTTACAATCTGACTTCCCTACAAAATCGACATTAACATATTCTTAGTAAGTGACTTCACGAAACTAGTCTTCAGGGTAAATGTAATTCATCTTTGTTTTTCAATCATCAACAAGGTGTCACTTATCCGATAACACAAATATTGAATATAATTTATGTAACGCCCCAATTTTTTCATTAAGCATAAACACGGGAACGTTACGAAAACTCGTTTTTCTTTAATTAAAAAAAAATGCGGAACTATATAAAATTCTTCAATAAACAAATAATTGTAACGTTTAGATTAAAATTATTGAAAGCATATCTAACCATAAACATAAACTCCTAAGTAATTCAAATAATGCGTTCTAAATTAAAATAAACAAATTGCTAAATTTAAAATGGCAAACTTATTTCTTTTTCTCTATTCTTTATCCACTTGGCAGTCCGCATCACCAATTCTCCACTGTTCCAATCGACCCGAACTAATCTGAAAAATTAATGTAAGAGTGAGTATTAAAAATACCCAGTAAGATACGTGCAAATTTCCATACACAGGTATATAACAAATAAATAATACACTTCATACCGCTCTTCTCTTATGGAGTATATCGGTGACCAAGCGACACACCCATCTTAGGTCCTCTTAATTTTCATGTAGAAATTTCATATCTCTTTCTCTAGAACCCGAAGGTCCACTAGCATTCCATGCATATTTAATCGCACATAAGAGCATAAGGAAACGTAAACACTTTGCACATAAATGTATCTTACCTTATTATCGAAATGTACACGAAAAATATTTGAATGCACGTTCCAAAATTCCTTCCTCTACTCTGTGAACGATTTATTGATCGACAGTGATAGTTGATGTATGACAAATTTCTGTTTTCACACACTCTTTCCTCTTTCTCTCTCTGTCTCTCTTTCTTTCTTCTCTCTCTTTCACGTGTGAATATTTTTTGGTGTGGTAAAATATGAAATCCTTGCCTAGTATTTATAGGTGTACGCTAGAGTAGTAGATAAATCAAAACTTTGATTTGATAAAGTCAAATCCAATGTGGCACGTATCATAAAAAAATTGTACTTTATCATTATTTTATTTCATCTAAAAGAACTACCATTCCTATCCAATAAAAATGTGGTAGCCAATCAATCAAATTCAAAATGGGTTAAAACTATATAAAATTATATTTATCTTGTTTTCTTTCAATTGGGTATAACTTAATACGTTCTTATCCAAAATAACTTTTCTCGAGTCATAGACTTCTAATTAATTACGACCTTCGAAATGAGTCTAATATTGATATACATATCATTACTTTATCAAAATCCAATTATTTGACCCCAAATATATAATATATTAATATTTATTTCACCTTAATCCCTCACTTTCAAAATAATATAATAATTTATTTATTTTCTTAAAAAAATTTCGGAATGTTACACGTTGTTTGCCACATAAATTGTTGTCTAGTGTCAATTGGATGGAAAAAAGTCTTTGAAATTTAAACTATCCAATAGGCTAATGTCACGAGGCAAAGTTTAAACTAAAGTGTATACACCATAGTGTACAAGTAGCAAGGTTCTTACCGATTGAACTTTGCTATTTGTACTCTGATTTTTGACACGTTGTTTGACACTTGCATTGTTGTCAAGTGTCAATGGGATGGGAAAATGGTTTGAAATTTAAACTGTCCAACAGGGTTATGTCTCGTGGCAAACTATAAACTAAAGTGTACACCATAGTGTACATGTAGGAACGTCCTTACCGATTGAACTTTGCTAGTTGTAAACTGATTTTTAACAAGTTGTTTGACACTTGCATTGTTGTCAAGTTTCAATTGGAAGGGAAAACTTTTTGATACATGTAGCAAGGTTCTTACCGATTGAACTTTCCTATTTGTACACTGATTTTTGACACGTTGTTTAGTAGAGGGCCTATTGGTTTACAATATGGAATAAAGTCTAATGCTGCAGGCTCCAATTCATAGGATGAATTGCAGATTGACCAATCTGCCACATTTGCTGAATTGTTGTTGTTTATTATAGTATCAAACATAATTTTTTGTGCTTCTAAGTCACCAATACTGGTCCATACCAAGGTCTCAGAGTTCATTAGAGGCATGGCTGGAGACAGTTGAAACATTTGTTTCTTCAAGACTCTGCCTGCAAAACAGTGATTTTTGACATGACATACACAAAACTTTTTTATCGGTCAGGTTAACAACAACAATGGAATTGTGAGCACTAATAACTTGAGCTTCTGAATAAGGTAGTCTAACATGTTACTAGAGCAGATATATGTCGTCCAATGTTTAATGAAAAATGAATGTGAATTGCATTTGAGATAGCGTCTCTAATAGTTTAAACATTTATTGGTCGAGTTAACAACAATATTGGAATTGTGTTTCTTCTACATTAACTTAAGCTTCTACATATGATAGTTCAACATGTTATTGAAGCATATGGAGTTCGTTCGATGTTTAATGAAAAATGAATCTGAATTGTATGGATTTCATAAAAATTCTCATAAAATCGAGAAAGAAGTTTTCATTCTGTACATACTGAATAAAGAATTATTAACTGCATCCAATGCATCTATAATAGTCAAAACATTTATCTGTCAAGTTAACAACAATAATTTGTGTTTCTTCTGTAATAAATGAAGCTCTTAGATAAGATAGTTCAACATAATATTAGAGCAGAAAGATCTAATTCAATGTTTAATGAAAAATGAATTTGAATTGCACACGAGAAAGCGTATCTAACAATCTATACTTTTAAATGACATAGTTCAACAGTTTGAGGAATACCATCACCGTCGATGATTCCATCGTCAATCAGCTTTAAACAGTTATTTGCCAAGGCCAACATGGCAGCCGCAGCAGGACAGAAAGCTACACTCTTGATTCCCAACTTCTTGGCCAACTCCGACGCCCATCCCATGCCATAATCTGCTATAATACACATAATCTTATCACTCTCAGTTCCATTTATCTTTTCAATTAGGTCCTCCAACTTCCCAGGCATAACCGTCGAAATTACCTTGGATAACTTTCCTAGTTCATTTCTGTCCTCCCATGGTTCCAATCCATCTGGGATTGATACCAACTTTACCCTTTCTTTTTCTTGTGTGTTTTCTGTCTCTGTTAATGCTTTGACAACTCTCTGGTGATTGAATTCCGTGTTTACAAATGTGACTTTGATGCCATGTCTTACTAGCCAAAGTGAAACTTCCATTAGGGGGATAACATGGCCTTGTGCTGGATATGGTATAGCTAATACATGTGGAGTGGCCATTGTACCTTTTTTCACCCTATAAAGTTTTATTTGTATTGTTAACTTCAAGTTTATGCTTACTTATATACGCATCAAAGCTGGCATGATTATGAAATAAACTAGATGTTGGCGAATTTTTAAGTCCCTGTTTGGTTACAGATTATTCAAAACTCATTTTTTTCTCGAACTCATTTTTCATTACACATTCTCTCGATAAAATAACTTTGCACGTGGACTCATAACTTTTCTAACTTTTTAACCACACGTTGTTTCAAAATATAATTTTTCACAAAATCTACTTCAAACATAACTTGAATAGGACCTATAATGAAATGAGAATTTTAAGAAAAACGGCTAATTAATGTAATTTTTAATCGTGAATGTCCTTTTCCTTTTGTCCCTCAAACTTGGTCCTTGTAATCAATTTCGTTTTCAATGTTCCGTAAATTTCGACATAGTTTAAGCTAGGTTTTAGTTGGATATTCATTGTTTGTGTTATATCATTTTTATTTTTTATTTTTACCTTTTTCTTTTTACTTGTTAAAGTATCTACAAGAGATTTTATACTTTTAAAGAGTATATTCTACAATTTAGAGATTAAAATTTTTTAAGTATTTCAATAGTCTCTTTCTATTAAACATTTAATTTTACTACTTTCAAAAAATATTTCTTATTTTTTCATATCTTTTATTTTCATTAGCTTTCTCTAAATTATTATATTATTTTCGTCCATTGAAAATTGAAATACTTTGAGTGCATTTAATTATAGAGAGTAGATACACTCTATAAATTAAAATATTAATTAAGAGTAATACTATTTAACGCCACTGAAGTTATAATCTTAGTCTATGTGACCTTAATTTGACATTAATAATAAGTAAAATTAAATATATAATTTAATTTCATATTTCATTTAACCTATCACTCAACGGCACATAAATTGAGATTATAACTCCAGTAGAGCTAAGTAGCATTATCCTTAGAATTATGTTACAAGAGACTCTTTAAATTAATAATAATGCTATTTAGTCCCATTGTAATTATAACTCCAATTTATGTGGTGTTAGGTGATATATTTTGGTTGTAATTTAATGCCGCATTAGAGCCACATAGACTTGGGTTATAACCCCTGCGAGGCTAAATAGAATTACTCTAATTTTAAGAATTGATTTTTTAAAATAGAAAGTGTCTTGTTTAAAGAGTCTCTCGGAAAATTTCTTACAATTTTAATATTATATTATTGTTGTTATAACGTTGTTTTTATCACTTGTCAACTTTAGTATTATAATATTTTTGTTGTTATATCTTCGTTCTTTTCACTTATTACAACTTTAGTCTACATTGCTCTATTGTCTGCGTCGCTTCTTCTCGGAGAGATTCATGACTTCAGTTTCATCGCCGTAGGTTGTTTTCAATGGTGGTGTCGTTCTTATATCTATGTAGCCAAATTTTATTTGCCGATTGATTCTATGGCCGGCATACGAAAGCAAATATGTCAACTTCAGAGAAATGGCTTCAATTATTAAACAATGTTGTGTTAGACATGACTTGATATTACGATGGACAAAAATAATTTCTATTTTTTTTTTAATAGTATTAACCATTGCTATCAAATTGGACTTACCAAACATATGCAGTTAAACTTGACTTTGGGAGAATTCCTCCGATTAGTAACATGCTTGTCTTGATTGATTCGGTCGAGTCATTTTCATGTTATTCTTTATCCTTTACGTGAGTGTTAAAGTGTTAAGCGAGTATAATGTGCGATATCCACTGTTATTATAGGAGTATATTACTTTTGGTAGACAATACTAAACACGACTTAACAATATTAACTATTAAGTTTTCATCGTAGGGCTTGAACTGAACACATGTAATCAAACTTATGGTTGATTTATTTGAGAATATAATGCCAATATTTAAAGTGGAAAAAGAAGTTAATGGTCTCTATTTGGCCTCAATTTTTTAAAATTCATTTTTTTAACTTATTTTCGACCACGCATTTATGAGGTCAACAACTTTTCATCAAATTTTATTAAAATTTACTAAAATATGATTTATAATCAAATCAAACAACTGCATATTAAAAAAATATATATATTTTATGGAGGTTCCAAGTTCTGAACTATAATAATAATAATAATAATAATAATAATAATAATAATAATAATAATAATAATAATAATAATAATAATAATAATAAACCAAGCAAGAAATTGAACCTCTAAATTAAATTCTTTGGGTTGGATTTCAAATTTGGATCTTACATGAGAACTGGACTTGGCTAAAGTGCTTTGCTTAGTGCAGTATAAGGGCTAACCTTAAAGGGACACCCCAGCAGACCATATATCTTTTGGGCTGATGCCCTAAAGCCACTAGGACAACTTATAAAAATACCCTTAAAATTATGAGTCATTTGAAAAATCATTTAAAAAAAATTTTGAAGTAAAAAATACTGTATAAAATTAAAAAGTGACACAATGTCACTTTTTTATAAAAAAAAAAAAAAAAAAAAAAGGGACACCATGCACGCATTCTTTATTAAAATAATATTACATATAAATAAATAAATAATCTTATTTTTCAACCACACATTTCACATCAATTTACTATTCTAAAATGCATTTTTACATAAAAATGACTATCAAACACCCTCTATATCACATAATAGTAGACAATACCCCTAAAAGGAACATCAATGTGTTAAAATGAACAAAAAGGGGCTCATGAAAAATACCATCAACGAATCCATAGTCACTGCACTAACTAAAAACTGAAGAACATTGTTTCGACACTCTAACAATTTTAATCCAAATTTTACATAATCAATGAAAAACAAAGTTTATATAAAATGAAAAACAATTAAATGCGACGAAACCAAATTACACGTAAAATAGGAGCAACACAAACATAAAAAGAACCCATTTAATCAGAAATTGTAAATTAACATCTGCAACATAATACCGTCAACATACGATTTTCAAACACCAATAACCACCTACCACCTACACTTTGAATACACCGGAACAACCTAAGAATCTACCACCAACAACTACAACACAGAAATTTGTGAAATAGCCTTCACTTTGATCAGTATCCAAACCCATTAACCACAAGAAGATGACATTGCAAATCAGTAGGACCCCAATCCCATCTAGTATAGCTTCAGAATTCTACTCTCTGTTGGACACTGTATACCCTGCGAAGATGGCCATTAATAACAGTCTTGCTCAAAACTCTGGGATGCCGATGAAGAATTTTCCATGAAGAAGTGAATCTTAGGGTTCGTTAATTTTGGAGACGATTTGGAATCGTTTGGGGGTTTCTCAATTGCCATTACGTGGTTCTAATTAGGGATTTGGGTTGTTTATTTGGAAGAGGAGAGTATAAAGTACTCTTTTTTTTGGAACGTATTTAATACGTGATTAAATGTTTTAATTAGTTTTAATAGTACTTTTCCAAACTCTTATTTTGGGGGGGGTATATGGTCTAATTTTCCCAAGCCACTAATGGATAAAATGAGTTATCAGTCTTTAGTTCTGGACTAGTTATGAATCAGTCCAAGCTACATTTTTCCAAAATTAGTATTACAAATTAAATCTATTTAACAGCTTTAATAATTTTCTGCATTCAGAATGACATTGTCTTAACAGTTTAACAATATAGGGTTGGATTATGCTATCCTAACATTTGCACTGGATTATGTTTTCTTGACATCAGCACATTTCGTAAACGGATGACAACAATATTTAAATTCAGAACTTCTACCTTCTATGATTATATGAAGAGAGATGCTATGGTACCAGATTCATTTGAACAGGCTTTGTACAGGTAAGTGAGTGTTGTATTATTTGTGCTATTTTTTAATTGGGTGGGATCCATCCCATTGTGAGTAATCTGTACAAAATCTGGTGGAATCAATCTGGTAGTATAGCTTTTTCCTTATATGAAAAACCTCATCTAAAAAGTATGCACATGTGTAAGGTGAAGCGGGAGATTCAAAAGAAAAGTGTATTACGAAGAGGAATTGGGATGAGAATGTGATTCAAGACTCCAAAGTAACTAAAGTCGTGTTACTAAAAATCTAAAAAGCAAAAATAAGTAACTAGAACCTATAAAGAAATGTTTATCATATAATCCATATTCGAATACGAGAAGACTAATCTCGTGCTGACTTGCTCTTTCGATAGCATATAATAAAAGTTGTAATTGTACTTGACGGAGTTTATTTTATATTTGAGCTAAAAGTTTGAAAGACAAATTAAATTATACTTGTACAAGAGTTCAAGATATGCATTGTATGCATCACAAAAAAAAAAAAGACGAAAAAAAAAACCTCAATTTCGATCAATGCCGAGATTATCAAGCAAGATTGGTACCCTTTTATAATTAAATTGTCTCTCACGTCCCAAAATTGTTAATGCTCGATTATTGTATCTACTTGATGCTGCTCGTGTATATCGCGTACCAAAACAACACTTTATACGTATTGGTTCATATTTTCACTAGTACATGAATTGACTCCCGTCACCCTCTAAACCTGAATTCAACCTCTAGAATTGAAAAAACTCATTATTCTCCATTCAATTCAAAGACACACTCGCGCGTTGGCGTTTGATAAATTGCAAGAAAAGTATTGGACCACCAAACCTAGTATAATCCGAACTTAGGATAAAACCACCAATTGTAAACAATTAAAATTCTATAAAGCCCACAACATCACACCTGATTCTGATACCCACAAGCTGAATTCTTGGGCCCACCACCCCTAACCCCTAGCCAACCAACCTCAACTGGGATGATGATGAAAATATTTTTAAGAATTGATTTTGAAACCTCGTATGTTTCAAAAACACACAACATTCTCATGTCACTACCAAATCTTAACACCCCACTCTTTATTATTGAATAATATCCAAATAATTGACTTAGATTCATTCTGATACTGATGATGGTGACAGGTAGACAAACGTTTGACAGTTATGTTATTAATAGATAGCAGCAAAGATTTTAAATTTTAGTGACGTGGCAGCAGCCCTTTGAACAAACGAAAGGGCAAAATCTAGTACAGAAAATCCAACTGAAAAACATGATTTTGTTTTGTTGTGACTATGAGTATCTCTGTCTGGAAAAACAACCTCGTACTTGTCTGAATAAATTAACAATTAAAAATAGTAGTCAGAAGCTACTAAAGTGTCTTCAGACAGTTATTTTGCTCCACAACCCAATAAAATACTTTGTCAAACAGTACACGTGATTATGGGACACATCAACCTTTCCAGCGCCAAGTTTTAAAAATATTCCAACGGCTATGTCCCAAACGTTTTAATTTAAAAAATAAAAAATAAATGAAACAACACTAGTGAAAGAAATTTTTCCAGGTAGCCTATTTTTATTTTTTATTTTCCGTTGGAGTTTAGGTTTGGGCAGGGGTAACTGCATACTATCTCGAGACAAATGGATACAAACTTACAGCTAAACAAGTTTTGTGCTACAATACACAAACATAGGAGTCGATCTTTGGAGCATACCTTAAAGAAGAATAGAGAGATCCAAATGAGTCGGCTATGGATCCCTAAAAGGTAACATGGCCGAAATACTTAATCATTTGACACGCAATAGGGAGAGCATTTTCCGTGCTTCATCAAAAACAAAAAAGTACAGCCTCAATTGCCTCACTAGTAGTAAGCATATCTTGGGTTCTACCCTTTCCGTTTTCGAGGTCTGTAAAAGCACATAGTAGCAGATAAGTGTTATAGGTACAGACGGCACTGATATGACAGTTTTGATCAATCAGTGATCATAACAAAAGACAATTTGTTTCCTCTGGTACTGTCTTAGGCATTGGAACCGCTATAACGTATCTCTGGAGGTGTTTCTGCATTGATGATGTGCCAGAAGATGATGCTGCATCGACACCTTGATGAGCCCTGCCGTGAAACTTTGCCAAACGGTTGATGATTGAGATCTTCTCCAACTCCTGGGCTTCTGCCTTTATGTCCGTAATCGATAAACTCTTGTCCAATCTACATCATCAAATTACACTATGTTTACTAGCTTGAGTATAACTTATCTTATAGATATAGGCATCATAAAGAAAAGGTACAAGGCAGATCTAACCGTGATTGCATGTTCGGTATGGAGTATTAGATTGTATTGAAAGTATAGCAGACGTATGTTAACTTCTTTTTCTTATTTATACAGGTCAATACTATTTAATCTGCCTTACCAAAAAATTATTTTTTGATCCTCGGCCATTGACTTTCTTAAGTCTGCTGTCTTGATTCCTAGAGAAATATATTTTTACCTTAACATGTTGCCCTTGAGAATCTTCATTTGACTAGTGAAGCCTTCTGCAATTTTTGAGAAATCATAAGCACCAGTTCTCTTAGAAGTTTTCAGCTTCTCAGGTGACCTAAGCATATTTTAAAAGTGACGTTCAGGAAATACAAAACTTCGATTACCACTGTCTTTGATTTGGAAATAAAGCTACTTTAAAAAAGAAAAATGAATGAACATATAAAAAGACATCTGTTACTTGTCACTAGTGTCAGATGGAAATTGAGAACTGGTAGCCAGGCTGCAGGCATCTCCCAATGTTAATCTTGCAGCAAAGTATGCCATGAAATCGTAGTTTGAACTTGCATCTGCAGAGAGAATGACTTTTGGTGCAGGCTGAAAGACCTGCTGCATTAGCTGTGTTGTAAAGATAAGCCTTCTCTTTGCTCGAATAACCGGGTGGGTATCTTCAAAAACTATGGCTTCCATTTTAACCTGCTAATACGAAAATCATTATGAACAAGTTTTAATTCTTCTATACCAGAACAAATTGTTAGTTTGCTATAATATAGAATTTCATTATGCGATCTACCTCACCTCTTCAAAGATTTTATTTGTAGCTTGTGCCCATTCTAACTCAGCCGTGCTGCAATACAATAAGAGAACAACGGAAATATTAGAAGCAGTGTTAGTTGTAACTTTTACTATTTTTCCCTTTCAATTTTTCAAAGCAAAAGAGGTCTATTAGCGACATATTCAAATGCTCTGTAAGCAGAAAATGTCACAATGTTTCAAACCTGATATTTTGAAGCCTCCGCGAATTTTGAGTTACTTCTTTGTGCCACGGTACAAGTTCAAATGGAATGATCTTACGCTTCTTTGGTCTTGTAACTGCCAAGTTTTGATAAGTGACATCTGAAGGTAACACATTTGCGGGAGATAATTGTTTACTTGCTACTGCAACTGGCCATATGCTGCTTCCTTCACGAGCCGAATTCACCTGCATAATTGAGCTATTTGTTTGCAAGTTAGGAAGAGTGCTTCCAGAAATTTGAGATACTGCAATAATTTCAGCATTGGCATCAAAGAGTGGCCGCATCTGCTCGTTTTTGAAGGTCCCATAATGTTTAAACCAGGATGGAGCCATTTGCAAACTAATCTGGGATGGACATGTCATGTTAGAATCTTCATTACTACCGATCGACGGACTCTGAAATGCATCATTTTTCTCCATATCGTTGACTCCTGATTTCTGTCCAGGCTGCTGGGAGTTAATACCAAAATCAATACCATCACATTTAATTGGCAACCTTCTAGAATCACCTTCCACAGGGTTTAGAGGCATTTGCATCGGGTGCGGAAAGGAGTGATTTTGATTTAGACTATACAATGGCATCAAAGTATTGCCAACTCCAGCATCTATAGCTGGAACTAAAGGATTTTGATTGCCTCTCTGATGTGCCATATTAGAGTGCTGCATCAATGAACCAGTTTTAACATCTGCTTCTAAGAGATTCTTTCCCACAGACTCGTGCTCATGAGTAAATATACTCCGTGAAATTGAGGAATCCACCCCAGCTGAGCCATATTGGGGGGGGCCTTCTTTCCCTGATTGCAGTTCATTACAATCTGATATTCCTGAATAGGTACCATATTCTTGGACACCGTTTTCTTGTTTATGCTGCTCATGTGAAGGGTCTGCAGTATCTTGTAGACTGCTCAAAGCTAAATCAGAGGATTGGAGCAAATCTGGCCACACATTCGATTGCCCCATGGGAAGTCCCACATGCCGAGACGCACCTGATGTCAATGATGGCTGAGTGACTGGAACAGATCCCAAAGTAGGTAATTCTTGATCATAAAGATGAGAGCTTTTAAAAGGACCATTATCAAAAGAGACATCAGCATTATATGCCGGAATTTGACTTGTCCAGTGACTTGTCACAGGTGGAACTGAAGGATGATGATTTTGAAGATGCAAATGACTTGAAGGCGATGTTGCACTTGAGTTCCCCTGCATGTTTTAGGCAAATAACAATATTGAATTGACTCGTAAATATTATATTTTCAAATTAAGCAATTTCGTGGCATTGCCATCTTTGTGAACTGGCAGACAAGCTCAAGATTTACATGACAGAAGTTTCTACCCACCGACAAAGTTTGAAAGAAAGAGTACGACTGTGGAGTCTGTTGATCTGCAAGTCCCAATCTTAAGCCAAATCCTTGTGGTACAGAAGAAATGTTGTGTGATTTACCAAAAGATGCAGAAGTTTCAGGTAGTGGCACTTCCTTTTGAGTTAAGTCGTTCGAGTTCAAGCTCCCATGTGCATGTTCTATGGATATGTCATCCTTGTTAAGTAGATTGAGCGTACTTTCACTGCCAAAGAAAAAATCAATCATAGCAGGATTTACACACAAAAAAAAAGGTAAAGGATAAGTAGACAAAAGAAAGAAAACAATGAAGATTAAGAAGAAAAGCAATAGTCCACAAAGAAATGAATGATGCTAATTGAGAAAAAAGGAATACAATCGTCTTCTTCACATGCAACAAGACATTTTTTCCATAAGCAACTTCGCCAATTCAGCATATTGTAAACAGTGTCTACCTTGTTCGAGCAGTCACACTTTGGATGTGCGGATGAGAGAGAGAACCAAAGAGAGATGACGTGGGCACAAAATTGTTTCCAGGAGCCATCTTTGCTGATTCTATTGAGTACAATTGATTTTTCGGATGGTGTACCTATAAGCAAAGATTAGGAACCTTATGGAAAATATAAACCTCTTCAATAAACAAAAACATTATCTTTTTAATGTTTACCTTAGACTCAGAAACATTAGACCTTTGGATTACCAACATTTTTGTGCTGGTTGTATTGAAAATATAATTTAATTCAGTTCATAAATATTGGGATTGAGCCAACAGGAAAAACATACGGCACCAACCTGATTAAATGGCTTTTGACTGCCATTAGTCACATGCTGTGGCGTAGTCCCATGAAGCGTGTCTCTCGATTCATGCCCTGCATCAGAGAGAAACCTTCATTAAGATTTCCCTTAGAAAGCAATCCTCTCTATCTCTCGCACTGTAACTTATTTTTTCCTTTAGCAAAAGTTAAAAACAAAATATTTGAATATTTGTGACAGTAATAGCAAAGCATTGATGGGTTTTCTTTAATATAGCCGATCAAACTTCTTCCTTAACACTCTCATCAATCAGGTAATTGCAAATGCTTAAAGAATGCTAAAGACAGGATATTTTCTTACCTGCGAGGCTGCTGAAAGGTCCGTTAACATGGGAATATGACATAAAGCTAGACTGATATGTATCATTTTTTAAATGCTCATGACGTTTACTGAGCCATAAGTTTGGCACAGGTGAAGATGTTTGAATCATTTGACTTCCATCTACAGGATGCTTCTGTTGAGGGCTATAATCTGACGACTTGTTAGCATTCCTAGGGGACTGCTGAATGAAAGAATGGGAAGACTCGGCATGTGATTCCTCTCTCTGTTTGAGAAATTGGTCACCCGATTGCTGAAAACCAGGAAAGCTGTGGTTCATATTGGAATTATGAGAAAAAACCTCGGATTTTGAACTCGGCAAGTCAACCCAATTATTTTGCTGCTTCCCACTGTCAATGTAATTTAAGGCCTTATTTTCAGTTGAAGATTCTGGATTCTGAATGCTCAATCCACTCCACCCTTCTAGTACCCCAGTATCACCACTCGAAGTTTCTGCAACAGCCGACTGCATAAGAGCACTCCAGCTACCACTTTGTTTAGAAGGCAATTCATCCATATAAGACGTGAGTTCCAGGGTACTTGCAATTCCTCCAGCATCCGCATTGTCATCCGTATTGTATAAGATTTTCTGTTCCAATGGGTCGAGAGAAGTGCCGGGCTGAAGAAAAGGGCCTGGTTTTGGCATATTTCCTGGAGCAAGTCCATGCAACCCAGCTTGTTTTTGCCTCTCTTCAGATTCAAGAATTGATGTGTTCCTCTGCTGGGAATTCCCTTGCTGAAAGTAGGTCTCATGTAAATTTCCCTCGTTGAAACCTGGAACAAGGCCTTGTCCGAAAAAATTCTTCTCCTCAAACACTTGATTGGGTAGCAGCGCTCCGTCTGGGATGCAAAGCTGGTCTGAAGAGAAATTGCTTCTTTGACTGATAACTGAGTTACTGAAGGCCGATGGCTGCATAGTGGGAATTTCCAATGGGCTATTTTTGTTCGTGACCAGTAGATTGGCTGAATCATTAGACGACTCCCCGAGATGAGAATATAGAGGTACTCCAAACTGCTGTTGTGAAAATCCCAAAGAACGTCCAGCCAGGTTCTGAGGTTTCGAAAGACCCAATCCGGTAGAAAAACTTCGAAAAGTAGCTGATCCACCGTGTTGTATCATGTCCATATCACCAACCACACACATTTGTGATGGCAGTTGATTTACATAATTCTGTTTTTTTCCTTCACACATATCCTGGAGCTGCTGCCTTCGCTGCATTTCCTGAATCTGTTTATACATAATTTGCCGTTGCAACATCTGTACGTCGCTGAATTTATATAGCTGCCTTGATGAGGCTGTTGCATTCCCACGAAGCCTTTTGAGATATAATTCACACAGGAAGGGTTGAACTTTTTAGCAGGTTAATTCCAACTTAATCACATAAAGACTCCTTCGAGGAAGAAAAATGTTCTGGTAGAAAATGAAAGAAATAACAAGAAAATAACAACATCAAAAAGATTATATTACAAAAACGAATGCTTGAACCTTAACATATAGAATGCTATCTAACCCCAATGGTGCTAGAGCACAAGTATAGATGTCCATACTTGATAAGTCCAATTAAGTAGATCAAGTAACCTTGCATTTAAATAGATTGATTTAATGCCATTTAGAAGCCACTAGTCTGGTGCTTACCAATAGTGGGGCTGAATATCATTACTCAAACATACATATAGATAATAAACATAAGATACCGAGTCCCAAAAATTAGACCCAAATACTGAACCTCAGAGTTATACTAATGTTATTTATAATTTACCATCTCTACAACTCGGAATAGAGTACGCTTTGGGAAAAAATTCCAGCATATTAGTTTAGTTTTAGATGCATTAACCACGAGGCAAGAGTTTAGGAAAATGACCAAAAATCTATGTCCTGTATATGTACTTTAAGTTCATGTATCTTGAGTGGAAACTATAATGAGGATCTACTAAGTCAGGCCAAAATGTCTCCGAAACCTAAAGAAGTCCAATCCAAACACTACCTTGTCGTCCTCCATCACCATAATAGAAGGCAAGCAGGCGAGGGGGCAAAGGTAGAAAGCGAATACAGTTAAAGGCAGATGAAGAGGATGAAGGCAACCAGCGGAGCCTAAGTTTGGAGTTGGAACAACGATAACATTATAGAATCATGAAGATGCCTAAATTCTAGAATGCTCCTGGGACGAAGTTTGAAGGAGGAAATGCAGGAAGCAACATTCCAGAATATTCTAAAGAGGAAAATTGTAGAGACAATCCCTGCACTAGTAAATATCTTAGATATTTATATATTTAGAACTGAAAACCTCTTGCAACACCATAGGATCGTCTACCATAGGATAAAAAGTAGGTGGAAGTATAAGTAGAAGCCTCAACTGAAAGCAACAAACTTGAAAAGAAAGAACCAAGTCGTGAGAACAAAATTTGGACAACTACAGTACCACAATTGTTTGGTGTTGTAATATGATTTCTGCATTTTCTCTCTAATCACTCACTCAACCATACTTGTGAGTTTTCTCTTTCACAGCAATGTCATGCCAATGATTTGAGGTTGACTTAGCTAGTCTGCCAACCATGGCTAACAAGAGCATGGAAGGGTCAACTCCATGAACAAGGAGCTTGAGGACATATAAATTATGAAACATAATCCATTAGTTGGTTCAAGAACTTACATTTGACTGTTTCTTTTAAACTAATAAAAAAAGAAAACCCCATCAACTCTATGCAGCCCTGCAAAATTTTCATTAACATAAGTCTTCAGTTTGATAGATTAAACTTTCAAAAAAATATTTTGAAACCTTAACATCTTCATGAAGTTTACAAATTGTCTTATTTAAAATCTTAATTTTCTAAAAAGAGGCAGCAGTAGCCAAAATCATCGCGGAATTATTAAAAGTCATACTTTTCTAAATACATCTAGTAAACCACTACTGATATTTGTTAGTAATTTACTTCACCGTAAAATAAAGTAAAATAAAGATTGATAAAAATATGATTCTTAATTAGCTAAAACACCCCCCTAGTTACCAAAATAAACCAAATTAATATAGTAAATTAAACAACAATTGCCACCAAAAATTTCTAACCAAATTTCATCTTTAAAAAAAATAAAAAATAAAAAATCAACCAGGTGAATGCACAATTAATTCAAGAATTGAGCTTAATATCCAAGAATTTTACCAACCGAAGAACCCTAAACAAATGTTGCATGTTTCCGGATACCCAAATCAGTTACCTCGAATTCCATAAAAACATATACAAACACCACAAAGAATCAATTTAACATGACTCAAATTACTAATTGCACAATTCAACCTGCATGAAAGCAGAAAAAAGCTCTAACCTTTAGTATGAACAAGCTAGAGAAGCTTCAAAAACCATAGTTTCAAGTAATTAGTGTGTGATCTGAGATAAACAATGGAAGGGTGTCGAGTGTGTATGTGATATTTACCTTTATAAACTTAATTTGCAAATATTAATTTATTAAATGGAGATCAAGACAGTGCAATTTCTTCGAGCTAGTACTGTACCAAATGCTTCCTCTTTCTCTTACTTTACACACAAAATATGTACGTATAGGTATCACTGTTTGCCTCTCGCTTTCTCTCTCTAGCTCCAGTGAGGTGGTGGTTATATCTTTCAGACAATCCCAAGATAATAAAGCCATCAAAACCGTGCAAGAAAATTACAAAAGAAAAATACTTCATTTTCCTGGTTCGGAGCAGAGCGGGCGGTTCCGATTCAGGTTTGGGTATCCGAAACTGAGATGTGTTTCGATGTTATGCATTGTTTGATAATTGCAAATGAGGTGCGTCGGATCAGATATTTACAAGAATTGTCGGTCAAGATTGAAGGTCCGTGTACACTTGAATATACTGGATAATTTCTAGGTGTGAAAGGAAGAAAAAGTGGAATCGGAGAGGTCCTTGCACGCGCTTTTGTGCACGCGCTTGTCGTTTTCTTTTATGCTCGCTTTTTGCAAATTTTTCCGGGAAAACAAGGAGTTTTCGTGCGCGGAATTATTATTTAATTCTTTTTGCTGTTTTCTTAGCGGCTGTTCGAGCTTACAAGAAAAAATAAATTTTTAAATAATATATTGATGAAAAATATGTGGTTAAAAAAAAAATTTAATTTACGTATAATATTATTTTATTGAAGAATGTGTGATTAAAATATTAACAAATCACTGTAAAAGAATGTATTTTGATTGAAAAATAAGGCTCAAACAAGAGCATAATGTGGCTCGCCACCTAAAAAATGAAATCATACTATCTAAAACTAATTTAGATCACATTTAATATGTTTAACTAAATGAGTAATGTAATATTACATTTGAGTGAATATATCGTGCAGTTATTATTCAATAACTATCATTAAAGCATGGGAGTGGCCCAAAGTTAATTTTCTCCTATTTTCTGGGTCTCTTTCATCTTTTTTTTAAATCTTAAAAATTAATTTAACAAAATTGTTTATTTTTATAAACTGTGCAATTATATATTGCCACGTAACAAAGTGAAAATGATAATGTAAAGGAAGATGTAAAGGTAGCATGATTATAAATTTAAAGTCTGAACAAGACTAAAAAATTCGAAGAAACAGTCCAATAGACGTCTTAACTTAAAACAGTCCAATAGACGTATTAACTAATTAAAACGTTAAGGATTTTATTTAAAGTTTCAAAAGAAATATAAGAAAACTATATTTAAAATNTCCAATAGACGTATTAACTAATTAAAACGTTAAGGATTTTATTTAAAGTTTCAAAAGAAATATAAGAAAACTATATTTAAAATATTTGCAGAAGAAGAACTTCCAAAAGGGGATGTAGCTCAAATGGTAGAGCGCTCGCTTTGCATGCGAGAGGCACGGGGTTCGATCCCCCGCATCTCCAAACCCGGAAATCCTTTTGAAATCATTTTTTATTCCAATATTTGGGAAACTTTTCCCGGATTCACCTTTTCCAACCTTGCGAGAAGATTTGGAATGGTTCGCGACTACACCACGTGTATAAATCTGTTGCTTTTTTTTTTCTTTTTCTTTTTTCAGGTAAAAAAAAGGTCCAAAATTTTTACCTCATTTCCCCTCCTAAACAGAATTTTGGGTTTCATCCTACGCTCAAAAATACTAATAGCAAGTATCAAAATCTTAAATCATTTAAAAGCGAGAAATATAAAAGCTCGTATGAATCATATAAAATTCCTTATTTTTCACTAATCGTACAACACAAGTTCAATGTTCTTACAATTCCCACATTCCTGTAAAGAGGACGTAGTACAAAAACTACAAACTTCTAATTTATCGTAGCGTCTAATCTCATAGAATAAAAGTTTACTGAACATGCCCTTACTTACTTAACCATAATTGAAAGTCCATTCCTTTGTTCACAAACTTCCGCCAGCTTCCATCCAAATCAACTTCCTTGGAAGGATTGCAATCAAAATTCCAAGTTTCACTACAAGTGTATCAACAATTTTTGCAACATAACCTTCATTGTTAGCATGGAATAATTTTATGGGATTCCAGCCCATCTCGGCTTTGATCAACTCAGTTATGTTGTGACAGATGCCAAGATCGTAAAAATGATCATAAAATACCACTTGCGCCTATTAATTAGACGTGAAAACAATTGCATTTTATTTAGACAAACCATCTCTTACTCGGAGCATCACAAAGATGGATGTTCCTAGCTCTGGTGCACCAAGATTGAGTGGAAAAATGTCAGTTGATAAATGGGTGGTGAAGCTTCAATCTTAAGGATTTAATATGGAGAACAAGATAGAGAAAATTAGAAGTCAGAGGATACATACATGCTACTTACTCATTCTCCCACAATGAACAAATCTTAATATCAATAAGTGTATATTCTAGAGTGCCTACTGAAGTCATTGGCTTCTATTCGAGGCTAATGATTGTGTGTCCTGGAGGGATCGTCTTTCACGTTCCCTAATTTGCATATTTATATGGTCATAAACTTGTTGCTTACGATTTTTCGGGATAAGATCGACTCATTCTCCAGTGAGCCGTATTGGCACGTCCCTTAACTTTAGCAAAGTGATCTCGGGCTTCTCACTTTTTCCTACCTGCAAAATTGCGCCATCGAGCTCGAGTAGATGTTTAATGAACTTTCTGAGCGCAAACTGCTGCCACATTTCAACATTATACCAGTTTGGCCAAATCCATTTCATGCCAATCTGGTTATCTCAGCAAGAGCTGAAAGGAAACCATCAAATTGGATCAGCTAAGTAAAGTAATCTTGTCTGTAAAAGTTGATGACATAAATTGTTAAAATTCCAAAAATTGAACATAAACTTTTGTTACAACAGTCAACCCTTCATCTGGACTTCGGACCAACTATGATTCAACATAGGCGGAGTTTAAATTATACAAGGAATAATTAATTAATAAATTTATACATTATGTTATTTCGTATACAACTTTTTAAAATTAAAAACATCAGGTTATTAAATCATTTTCACTTATAATTTGTTCGAAGATATCTAACTAATTATAAATGTGACACGTGGCCAGTTCCATTTGCAATGTCTTCTTGATTCATCGAGGTGAGCTATGACCTTAACCCCTGTCATGGCCCCCTAATACTTGAAGCTCCTTTACTGATCAGAAATCTTTATTGCAAGAGCTAACTCTGTAGCAGCATCGCAGGGAGAATATGGTAGCAAATGGATGTTACCCTGTATCGAATAACACAACATGGGCCGAAGAATGTAGTATCTTAGCCAGAGAAACATTTTCACTTGTACGTGTTGCATTATCAACCAACATAAGAAACAAGTGAATTATTAATTCTGTCAAGTCATCCTAGCCAGTAGCCATTTAGCCCTGCCTCATCCAGTTAAAACTTGCAACTGTTAACAACCCAGAAAGTCTAAAGCAGATGGAAACTTTAGGTTGTAAATATAGCAACAGAACAGAAGAGAAGCAAATATTTAGAGCTTTTTGTTGATCAGGCGACACCTGGATTTGGATCTTAGCACCCAAAAAGTCTGTATGTACAAACGATCTAGGCCTGTATTCGGAGTTTCCCTGGGGTTGGTACTGTTCGAGTGCAGAAGAAGCAAGGATCTTATTTTCTTCCAAGCCATCTCTACGCTGAAAGCCATAAAGACATTGACAAGTCCATCTTCTTTTCCCTCTGCCGATGATCTATCTCCCTCTCTTATTGACATAGATAGCGGGTCCTACAGAGAGAGGGCCTTTGGTTCAGTTTCACTCTGAACAATGTCCCTCGTTTGAGCCCCATTAATTTTCATTACATTACATTTCATTTTTTTCTCTCTTATTTTCAACTAGACAATCTTCCATAAAATAATATTACACGTAAATCGAAAATTTTTCCTTCTTTTTCAACCACTTCTTTTTCAAAAAAATACTATTTCACCCATTAAATTTTCCACGTAATGGGGGCCAAACAGGGGCATAATAGAATTTTGAACCCGAATGATTTCTATTCCTAACAAAGTTCACAGCATATGGTTCAGCTTCTGAATAAGTTCAGAGGCATGTCTTGGATGAACATGCTTTCATTTCATTCCACAATCTGCATTTTCACGGTCTTAGATCTGTTGGTTGTGCATTTTGGACTAGAATATATCATGAATCTTAAGTCAAAATAAATTATCATGGATATCTCTGACGAGTCTGGATAAATATCGGATGAACTTGTTTTCAGTCCATATTTTCAAACCAGCTCATATACTGCTTCATTTCACCTTAGGAACTATTTTCTAGCCACTGGATCCATGCCAATCTGATCATCTCAAGAAGATCTGAAAAAAACCCTTCAATTTGGATCAGTCACAGAAATTCGAAGCATGGCTGGGCACAATATGTCAAAGAAGTAGTGGTGTCAAACGAGCTGGGCTAGGTCAATGTTAGGGTTGTAACTGGAAGAAAAGAAGAACAGAAATTAATAACAGATATTTGATTGAATTGCAGAGAATTACAGGTGAGTAAATGACAAACAAGACTCCTTTCTTTCACTCAATATTTGCCTATCTTCTACCCTTCCTCCTACCTTTATTTATAGCAATTTCCTAACTAATTCCCCTCCCCACTTGCCCTTGTAACAGAATTCTGTTGCTGTCCCTGCTTCTCACGTCTTCTGGGCTCTTCTAGAATTGAAGGCTTATCAGTCAACAAGGTTACACGGCCTATGTGCAGGCCGGGTTGTTTATCCATTATATATTGAGTTCTTTTAGTAATAAACAATGCAAAATGTTTTATATTCAAAAGATTGAAGTACTGAACAAAACTAAACTTAGTTTATTCTTTAAATCTAAACACAACCCTCCTCCTTTATCCGGGCTTGGGACCGGCTATGATTAGTCATAGGCGGAGTTGAAATTATACACGGAATAATATATTATGCAATTCCGTGTACAACTTTCTAAAATTAAAAACAGCAGAATAATTATATCATTTACACTTATAATTCCTTTGAAGATACCAAACAAAGTATAAGTGTGACAAGTGGCCAGACCCATTTTGACACCACTATTAAAGTTACGAGAAAAAAAAGTTCGATTCTGTTAGACTTAAAGCACAAAATTTTATAAATCAAAATCAAATGGTAAGGGCTGAGAACAGATTCTGTGTCTAAGTTCTGTCCAACTAAATTCGGCAGACCATTAAGGAAAATTCTATTAGGTGGTCGGTTTAAAACCAACAAATATCAGTAATGAGATAAAATTGAGAACCTTTTGACAAAACTATCCACGGATGATCATGTACATCAAT